TATTTATAGTTTTAGTTGTTTGAAAAATCAAAATTTGTTGACCATAGTTGGTACTTATGGCCGGCATTCTTCGCTTTGGGTTTCTAATCGGACATGCACTTAGGCTGTTTGCTGGTGTGGTCTAAAATCTATTTTTATGTATCCACAGTAAAAGTCTGAAGTAATGATACTTGGTCTGCCTTAAACATATTTTATTTGATGAAAAGTGGTTGTGTCCCAAAATTTCTGGTGTCCCCTTTATAAATTTCACACATTCGGAAGATATTCTGCAAAATGATAAATTTATTATAATTCGCCGCTGTCGTCGTTCACCGGACGAGAATGCTGTAACTAATTTTGGTTTGGTTGAATGGCAACCGACGTGTGAGATCTATTCAAAGAGCGGTAACCTACATAGTCCTCACTGTAACCTTTACGCGAGTCCTTAAATTTCTTCTTAGCAAAAAAAAAAAAAAAAAATGAACCGAAGAATGAGAATGAGTTTAGCGTATTCCGAAACTACGCTCACATGACCACACACGAGATCTCGGCTTCCTAGCCCATCCTCGACGGAGTCGGAGCTTTGGCGGGTTGTAGTTGGACCGTCGGCTTCGACATGCTTGCACGGTCATGGCGGTGACGACGCTTGAGCTACTCTGTTATTTTGTGCGGTCCTCCTTCATGTTGTGCACTCCTGAGGTTCGCCAGGGCGGCTCTAACAAATAAGGAAGTCTGGAGCATCCAAATGCATTGGCTACCTCGAGAAAGTTGCTTCGTTGGCAACTTGCTCTCGCTGCTGAAATGTGGACGTTGTCGACATGAACTCTCAGCGCACGCAAATTAGGGCACCTTGGTTGAGTGGATTCTCCATTTTCTTCTAAGACTCGATTGGCGAAAGTTACTTCTTAAGCTTCTCGGGTGCAAATTTCGATTTGACCAGGGCGAAGACCAGTTTACACTTCTTCGTTTGCTTGGGTTTGGTTGATTCCGGCGTTCTCCTTTCGTATGTGTGTATAGATAATATCTAAACTACCGTCTTTGCCGCCGTCGAGTGCTGTGCATATTTCATAAAATAACAATATTTTGACGGGGCTGGCAGGTGATTCTACTAATCTCTTCAAATCACTCGATTTCTTTTTGTGTTTTGCTACGGCGCAAGTACATGTGTTTCTGTCGGCTGTGAACGTTGTTCTCTATTCACAGGGTTTGACGGGAATTGATAGCACAAGGACGTCACAATATTTCGTGCCCCAATAAACTTCCAGTGGCATATTTATTTGTTCTTCCACGTCGCGCAGCGATCGAAAAAAAAGAAAAGAAAATGAAATGATATTTATTCGGAAACTAATACTTAAAAAATTATATGTCTGAGAAATAAAAAAACAACAAAAAAAACAACAACAACAACAAAACAACATAATAACCAGAGATTAAACGACGGGAGCTGGCAAGAGGTTGTGCTCGACAGCATTTTCATTCCTGATTTCTGTGGTAAAAATACTTACTCGTTTTAAGGAATTGTTTGGTTCAATAGTGCGACTCGGTAGTACATATAAAAAAAAAAAAAAAAAACTTTACAAAAAAAAAAAAAAAAAAAAACGAAAAAAACTTTATGATTTTGGCATGGACCCCGCTTCGCCCCATCTCACCCCAGAAATATTTGTCTTTTATATGGAGACACGAGCGGCAACATTCCACACTTTTAAGCGTGTGCATAGGCGTGTCACTTTATGAATGGTCGATCTATCCTCAACATTTAGAGGTCATACAAGCTTAGCGAAGACTTTTCTTTTCGTTCATTTTTTCAGAAAGAAGTGCCAGACGAGGTCCTCTTTGCCGGGCCTCACTTTTATAGCCGGCAACCGAGAAGATTGCGGTTCAGGGTGGAAGGTCGAAAGAACTCGCACTCGGAATGCTTCATGTACCCATGATGATGACATCGTGATGTGTGATGCAGTCTATTACGTCACGAACCTCCACCTCGCTTTCAATGGTCAGCTTTTGCTTCTACGTCAAGAACTGTTTTGCTTAAAGTGCAGTGTCCCTGGATATTGGTGAACAAAAAACCGAAGATCGGCTATGCGGTGTGTTATAGGCAATATCACTCTCAAGGACAAGTTATTCTCCATTGTTCGGGTGTATAATATAGGATTTTATAAAACGTTGCGTGCTGGTTCTTTGATTACAGGACATCCGTCATCATGGGTGTTGCGTGTTTTGTGCTGATCTTTGTTTAATTAGTAAACTATACTTTTTTTAATCCGCTGAGTTGTAACTCTTTTGGCAGTGCTGTACAGCATTGTGACGTTTGTTATGTGTTCGATCGACGCAGCACATATTTGTCGTTTCATACAAAACTAAAGTACTGAGACGCAAGAGGCTTGACTCGAAGATCGCGTCTCAGGAACGCGCTGTCCGAGGATAGCGTAGGGCGGCTCAGCCACTTTATATTCTTTATGGAACGACAAATCTGGTGCGTTGGTTGAACGCACCATTTAAAAGTTACAACTAATGACCGTAACCCCTAAAGGATCTGAAGCACGTACACATATACTACTGGTTAGAAAGCTATAGGTTATAATGTACCTTATAAAATTAGTAGAAATAAATAAAATAAAATAAAAATAGGTTATCGAGCTTAGACTGCAGAGCCCTGCATATCCGCGGATTCCCCGCGCATAACCCGCAGATATCCTCAGTACACTGGTGGATGCGAATAAAAGTAAATTAAATTTGTCGGGTTGCGGATCGGAGGCGGATATCCGTGGGTTTGGATATACATTATTGCCGAGGCGCCCCATAAACGTGTGCGACCGCACAGGGTACAGTGAATCAGTCAGTGATACTATGAAGTGCATCATCGAATGTATTGCGGGGGCAGACTATGCTCCGTTAGACAAAAGGTGCCAATCGGGGAGAAAATTTATATTTACGTCAAAAAAGATTTGATTCTCGCCGAAGATCGTTTTAGAACGTTCTATTTCGCCAAAAATGCTGACCCTAGAAAAAGTAAAGAATGCAGGAGCATCAGTCATCCCGAAAAAGCGTGTTCTTGTTTGTCAAGGAAAGAGCAGAAGACGTTCTTTCGGCAAAGAAAACCCAAAACGTACAAGAAAGTAGAAGAAGCTCGCAAGTGGCTTCTTCGCCTGCAAGTATAGATCTAGAAGACTGAATTCGATCCACTGGAGTGCTAGAGTTTGCGCCAGCACGAGTTTCCGCATGTCATTCTTGTAGCACAGTGCGTGCATGCCATCTTAGCATCAAGCGTTTCAACGGAGAGATACTCTTCATGAGCGGGTTTTAAGTTTAGACAGGCGAACCAGTCTGAATCCCTCCATGTTGACGATATTCTGTTTTTTTCTAACAGCTACCTCGACAAGTGATGCGTTGCCTGTGTGTGCTTTTTTTTTTTCTCGACAGTTGGTACTAAGTGTTTTTTAAGTATATAGTTCCGAGCACGCAGTTGAGGGGAAGTGTTTAAAACTGAAGCCGACAGGAGGTGTGGCCATTATTAAATATTGTGATATTTTTCCAGTGGTATGTACTCGCACCTTTCCGCATATACACATGTACTTTGCTGCGAAGAGTGAGCGCCTTTCCTTTAGCTCCCACTTTTAATATTTCACCTAAATAAAATGATACAATGTTATTAGTCTGTCCTTTGTTAATTTTCATGTTTATAAAATATCCGACTGCTTGAAGGGGGGGTTGCAAAGCAAAAATTAAAATAAATATTAAAATTTTTTTTTCTTTTGAGCGCATCTTCTGAACAGAGTGTCAGTGTCACGGACTCCCAAGACGATCTCCTAACTGCGATCATCTTTCCAGCGATGCGAATATTGTCTCTGGAAGGATGATCGCTTATGAATTACAAATTCGATAAAACAGCATACAATAAAATGAATTTTCACCGTATTCTGACACGAAGAGGTATTTGTACAAAGGAAAGCAGAAGGTTTATAAAAAAAGAGGCCGCATCTCCACGTGGTGAATGATGTTGATTGGGGCGAAGCTCTGGTGGTGCTGATGATACTGATTGCATTGTTCATAGGTAATGCTGATGGTGCTGATTTTTTTCTTTATTGCTAATAGGTAGTACTGAGTTCCGGGTTGCGTTTCGACTTCATTATTACTGCTTTATGGTCGGTGAAATGCAGAGCTAGTGGTTCTTCTAGCGGATCAGCTTGGATCCGCTAGAAGCCGTGGGAACGCATCTCCACCGCTTATGTCAACGGTCCATGTCAGAAAGAGAATGTGTGGTATGGAACGTGGTTATATACGCATTTGAGCATTTGACCGCATGCCCTCTCGTCTTTAAACGTTGAGCCAATGCATGGAAAGTTTAACGCGATTATATACTCATTTGACCGCACCACCCTCTCCTGTATAGACGTTGAGCGGCTACATGCAACGTTGAGTGTCCACTCATGTTACGTGTAACTGCAATATGTAAATATGCTTGTTTTTGTCGAAAAAGAAACAGGGTGGCGTAGATTCAGCGCCCGGCAGTCGAAGAGTGCGGACGCGCGATGGCTCGCTCTGATAGCGAGGTGATAATGGCCGACGCCGGCCGCGGTGACAGGCATTTTTGCATCCCTGCCGACTACCGGATCGTGCTGCCGACGTTGCCGGTTGGAGACAAAGGAAAAAATCAAGTCTACCTTCACTGCGATGTGAACGCCAGGCCTATAAGGATCGTCGACTTCAAGGAGCCCTTGGAAAAAGCGGACCTTCGAAAGGATGTAGCAGGGCTAGGTGTGTGCCAAATGGGACACGTGTGGCTCTGTAGCCTAAAAACTGCGGCAGCGAAAGAACGACTGCTACAGCTTGGCCGGCTCACGGTGAAGGGAAAGCTGTGCATCCCCGTAGACCCCAACCGGCAGGAAGTTCGGGCCAAGTTACATTGGGTCCCGTTCGACGTATCCAACGACACTCTCCGGAAGGCACTGGAAGAGTACGGCACAGTTCACGAGGTGACCAATGAGAAGTGGCGAGTGGAAGGCTTTGAAGACATCGAGTCGACCACCAGGATCGCTAAACTGACACTCAAGGAAGGCAAGACGCCAGAGAACCTACCTCATCAGCTAAGGCTTCAGGGGGGTACGATCCTCGTTGTCGTACCCGGGCGGGCGCCGTTATGCCTGCGGTGCCGAAGGCAAGGACATATACGACGCGATTGCCGTGTACCTCGGTGCGGGCATTGCCGTGGCTTCGGACATGTGGCCCAAGACTGTGCACGCACGTACGCGAGTGCTGTAATCAGCCGAGCGAGCGACGAGGGATGCGACCTCATCATGGATGAAGCGGAAGCAGAGGAGGCCGCAACATCGTCGACGCCATTTGAAAGGGCACAGCAAGACAAGGCGACAGTCGAAGGTCAAGACAACAAGAGAGCGGAGGCGACAGTCCGAGACGAGAAGCGCACGGTGACGGCTCCTGAAGCCAACGAAAACGAGGGGCAGGCGACAACGCCTGGAAAACCTTCACCGGATGAAGTGGCGGTGACGGCGATGGGGAGCACCGGCACCGAGTCGGAAGCCATCGAGTGTGAGCCAGCCATGGAACTGGATCCCTCAAAGGTGAAAGGGCGACTGGCCGACGAGTCTCCGGAAAACGGTGCACCGGTACAGCAGTGGTCTGAGGGGGAGTTTCAGCTGATAGGTAAAAAAGGTCGCTACGTCAGCAAACTGCGGTCCTCGTCGCTGACCCGCGACGGGGGTCTGTCGCAGTGAGTAGTGACCCTGGTATAATATGACGCAAAGGGTAACCGCCGGAAGCTGGGTCTGACACTATAAAAAAAAAGGCACAACTAGCGTCTGGTCTGCGCATAGGGACCCTTAACGTTAGGGGACTTGCGGCACGCCGCCGACAGTGCCAGCTGAGTCGCCTTCTCTTAGAGAAGGACCTAGACATTTTGGCGGTTCAGGAGACGAAGGTTGAAAGTGAGAGTCAGACCGAGTTCCTGGTAAAACCGTTTACGTCGAGGTATAATGTCTGCGTCAGCCATGCTGTAGGTAGATCTGGAGGATGTTGTCTGTTCTTGAGGAGAGCTGCTGGGCTCATCGAAGAGAACGTTGTATCGTGTGAATCGGGAAGGCTTGTTCTCTGCGATTTTGTTTTCCTAAATCAAAAGTGGAGGGTTATGTGCATTTATGCGCCAAACGTGGAGAGTGAGCGACGCGCCTTTTTTGAATATATCGACAGATTTGTAATTAGTGACCGATTTACGATACTGCTGGGAGACTTTAATTGTGTTTGTATGCCAGAAGACCGGACAAATCAAAGACGAAATAGTGATAGGTCTAGCGAAGTTTTAAATCAGTTGATTCAAGATAAGGGGCTCGAAGACCTGGCACCCTGCATAACACCGGGACATCGGGTCCTTTACACGCACCACCAAGGCAGAGGGCATGCCAGGCTTGACAGGGTATATGTTTCAGCGGATTTAGTACCCCAATGTAACGATTTCGCGGTCAGTCATGTCTCGTTTAGCGATCACTGTTTGGTGAGTTTTACCTTGGGTCAGCGTAAAAAACAAACTCGCTTTTCGTGGGAGTTGTGGAAGTTAAACGGAAAGCTCTTCGAGGACCAAGAATTGACAGGGAAAATCGAAACTAAGCTAGGCAGACTAGAAGAGGTTTCGGAAAATAGCATATGTGAGGAATGGGAGCTATTTAAACAGCGAGTGAAGATTGACGCGATTGAACGAGCAACTAACATTAAGCGGGAAGAGCGAAGGGTAGAAAACGGTCTTCGGCAGGATTTACAAAGGCTTTATGTAGAGGAAGAGAGAACGCCCGGAGCCTTCAAAGACGACATAAGCACTATCAAGGCTAAGCTTGAAAAAATAGATGAAGACAGATATAAAGGGGCAATCGTTCGTGCCCGTGCGATGAACTTGATTGTCGGGGAAACGCCCATAAAAAGGGCACTTGCGTTGGAAAAAAAGTATGCTAGCGGGAACCGGATTGAAGAAATAGAGTACAGAGGCGCAGTAACTCGAGATCAGGACAGTATTCAGCATGCTTTTGTGGAGTTTTATACACATTTGTTTGAAAAGAAAATACCAAAAAAAAAAAAAAGGGGTTTGATACGGAATTTTTGCCAAGTCAGCCGAAGCTAGATAGCGATACTACGACGTTTTTAGAAGATCCGATTAGTTTATCAGAGGTCGAAAAAGCGATAGATGACCTAAGCGTAGGCAAGTCACCGGGACCGGATGGTTTGAGCACGGCCTTCTATAAGAAGTTTAAACAGCGAATTGCACCGGTTCTAGATAGGGTTTTTTCTCAGTCCTATCAGAAAAAAGAATTACCACTTTCTTTTTTGTGCACGCACACGGTCTTGATACCTAAGTGTAATGACGCCGATAAGCTCCGTAGTACTAGTAATTACAGACCAATTACCCTGGCCAACGCTGACTATAAAGTGCTAATGAAGGCTTTAGCCAGTAGATTGCAGCACGTTATATGGAAAATCGTAGGGCCGCACCAAACCTGTGGGATAAAGGGTCGTAGCATTGGCACAAACATACACATTACTCGAAGTGTTCTAGAGGTCTGTGACGCGGAATATCGGAAAGCAGCTATACTTCAGATGGATCTTGAAAAAGCATTTGATCGGGTGTGCCATGATGTTCTGTTTACCATTTTACAACATGTGGGTGTTGGATCTGTGCTGCTGGAGGGGGTAATGATGGCATATGTAAACTGCAAAACTAAACTAGTAATTAATAAAACAGTTAGTACGGGGATTAACGTCCGCTCTTCAGTACGGCAGGGATGTCCCTTATCACCCTTGCTTATCGCAATCTACCTAGAGCCCTTTTGCCGCTGTGTCATTCAATCTCAAGACATTAGGGGTTTTACACTACAGGAATGTGACATTAAAATATTGGCATACGCAGACGATGTTGCCATTTTTTGTTCGGACCCTCAAAGTGTGTTAAAAGCTGTTGAATTGACCAAAAGGTTTTGTGAGGTCACTGCTTGAGCGGTGAATTGGTCAAAGTGCGTAGGGTTATGGCATGGTGAGTGGACGACTGCTCCAGTTGTTTTTGGGAATGTTCACTGGTCACGGACGCCATCAAAGTACCTAGGTGTTCCGCTGGAACATTACCGTGAGCCCACAGATTACTGGCGAGAAGAAATAGCTAAACTTAAGGCCACTGCCGAGAGGTGGGTACGGAGGGATTTATCCATTTTCGCGAGAGCGACTGTGTGCAATGTGTTTCTTCTGTCCAAACTGTGGTATGTCCTCCAAGTGCTGCAGTGTTCGAGAATCAACATTCAGCGGATTCACCGTGTATTTGCAGTGTTTATTTGGGCATCCCAATGGGAGCGAAATCGCCGTACCAATCTTTTTTTTAAGCCCAAAGCGGGGGGTGTCGGACTGTGCCACGTATTTGTCCGACAACTCGTCTCACGCTTTATGTTTATCCGTGACCAGCGTGATCCTTTTCTTCGAACCGTTATTCAGACAAGACTGTTTGACGTTTTACCGGGATTTGTTGTTTCGTCCTGCCGGGTACGCTGCGGACCTCTGTCGGGTTTTTTGCGCGAAGTTGTATCTGCCTGCCATTTTCTGTTCGTTCGTTTTTCTATGAACTATTTGTCTAGTGTATCACGCAAACATTTGACGCGTGACCTAGTGGCTACGTTGTTGCCCATGCCAACGTAGAGGGCCATAGGCCCTGGAGCCTCAGGAGATGATGTGTTACAGCGGGTCAAGAACGCCATGGTACCAGCGGCGGTTAAAACTTTCTTTTTTAAATTACACAGAGAAACGTTGCCAGTAAAGACTTTTTTGGAGGCTAAGGGCATGAACCTCTACTGGTCGGTAAATTGTATTTTGTGCAAACAACCGGAGAGCATCGAGCATGTCTTTTTGGGATGCTGGGATGCTCTTCTTTTTGGGACGTGCTTCAGCGCACCATAAAGAAAGAGCTCCCCCTGTCACCTCAAGGAATCCGGTTCCTACCAATAGAACGTGAACCTGTGCCCTACGACATAATCATGCTCCTGGGGCTCCACGGCATATGGAAGAGCAGAATGGCGGTGCGGCATGCTGATGTTGACGCACGCAACCCCCGAGAGTACTTCATTGAAACTATCAAATGGTTAAGAGAATGTTATAAAAAGATAAATACTGATGTGGAATGGTTACCAGTTCTGGACGATTTGGCCATGCTTAAAACCTTTTAAATTAATCATCGCAACGACCTTCAGCCAAGCCTGGCTGATAGGCTTTTAACCCCTCCATGTTAAGCAATTTCTGCTGTTTTCGGGGCACCTTATTTTTATCAATATGTGTATCATATGTAACCTAACAAAAAAAAAAAAAAAAAAAAAAAAAGAGTGTAGCGTAGTGGTTACGACGTCTGCCTCGTAAGCAAGCGGTCCTGAGTTCGAACCCCGTGCAAGCGTACGTTTTTCTTCGCGTTTTTCTTTTTTTTTTTTAAGTGGGTTGATCCCGGAGGCAGTGCAATCACTGTGAGCACGGACGCCGGACGGATGGACAAGGCTAGATTCTAAGGAACTTCGCCACTAATACCATCCAGATGCTTTTTTTTAAATTTTATTTGCGTTTGACCTCATGATGTAAAATGAATGCTCGTATGGAGGGTCCGATGCGGTTCCGAATTTGCGCATGCGGTTTGGACGCGGATGATCAAATTGATATCCGCACAGGGCTCTACGCATGGGGTATCGAAGCGGGTCTGTGCCTAGCCTCCTCTATAGGAGGCTATGGCAGCGGTTATCAGTAGAAATGACAAATCGAATAATTAACTTCAATAAAACAGTACCAAAAGAAATAAACGTTAAAGGGGTCAAGAAATAATAAAGCCTAGGAGGGCAAAAAAAAATTAAAAAGACGCTTGAAATAACATAGTTTCCAAAAGTCGAATAAAACGCGTGCTGTAGGGGGTATTCACTGAACACTATATTTGAGGGCGATGTTTAGAGCGCATGCTCCGAATGAGCTTACATTAATAGGCGCGCTCTAAATTTCATCGCCCTCAAATATTGCCGCGCGCAAGGCTGAGAAAGCAACGCTCGGTCACGGTCCTCCAGAAAGTTCCCGTTTATTCATGTGCCGCACGTAACTTCTATCATTTATCCCTGCTTTTGTTTTCTAGAAAGTGCGTGTTCATTCTCGCCCCGATCACCCGACGCTCGAACCGCTTTCGCCGAATCTTCGAGATAGCGGCGCACTCTAGATAAGAGGCCGCCCGCGACCTTGTCGAGTCAGTCTCGCCCTAGCGCTCGATTCTGCTGACACGCCGACTTCGACGCCCGCGACGCTCTGCTTTCTTCTGTTTCCTTCTTTATTTTTGGCACAAGTTCGCCACATTAAACGTTTCTTTCTTTCTGTTTATTTAGTGTTCCTTGGTCACCACCCGTGACATTTTGGTGGAGGTGCGGGGTAACCGCATGCCCGTGCAGCGCTCCCCTCCGAGTTCTCGGAGTGCAAGTCCGAACACAAGCCCCCAAGAACCCAACGAGGACCAGACCGAGATCCGATTAAGTCGCCGGAACCTTGGCCTACCCCCGGAGTTAGGACCCTTGCCACCCAGGACCAGGCAAACAAGGAGGACGACGATGGCCAACCAGTCGGAGACCCCGGCCGCTCCAGCCGTCGTTTACCTGCCCGTCGTACCGCGGACGGCTGCTCCATTCCACGGCGAGCAATACGAAGACGTCGAAGACTGGATTGACCAGTATGAACGCGTTGCCCGCCACAATTGCTGGACCGATGAGCAGCGCCTGAACAACGTCTATTTTTCGCTTGAGGGTACCGCCAAGCACTGGTACGAGAATCATGAGTCCTCTTTGACGTCGTGGGACATGTTCAAGACTGATCTCAAGGCTACGTTCAGCAACCACCACCGCCGAGAGAGAGCCGAGGACCTACTGCGAACCAGAACCCAGGGCCCCAACGAGAGCGTCACCGGCTTCGTCGAGGATGTTCTTCGCCTGAGCGCCCGCGCCGATCCTCAGGCTACAGAGGAGAAGAAGCTGCGACACCTGATGAGGGGTGTGAAAAGCGAGATATTCGGAGGTCTCATTCGCAATCCCCCGACAACTGTGGACGGGTTCGTCACGGAGGCGACGAATATGGAACGTGCCCTACTAGCACGCGCCAGGCACTACGAGCGACACCCTGGCGTGACTAGTCTGGCGACATCCGGATACAACCTCGGTACCGACCTCCCAGGCATCCGTGACATCATCCGTGAAGTCGTCCGGGAAGAAATCCGCAAGATGCTCCCCGCTATGGATCGCCCGTCCTCCCTGTCGCTCGCCGAGGTCGTGCGAGATGAAGTTCATCGGGCCTTCCAACCTGAGGTTCCGATCAACATGACGACGCCAGAGGAGCCGACTTTGAGCTACGCCGCCATG